TGTTCTCCCGGACAGCTCGGGAGCGCCCGGCACGGCCGAGCAGGGAGAGACCCGCCAGGTACGGTCCCGCCGTCCTCCCTCCGGCCCTCGGCGGGGCCCCGCCGGTGCGCCTTGGGGCCCAGCGGGGTGCGAAGCGGCGGCGTGGGAGGGGCCCGGCTCCGGCATCCGCCCGCTTCCCGCAGCGGGGAGGCGGCGAGGTGTCGCGGGTGTTGGGGCGTTGGCCGGGGGGAGCGTCGCCTTTCCCGGCGGCGAGGGGCGAGAGGCCGAAGAGGAGGATGGGGGCGTTGGGGCGGCCGGGCGGGGGAAGCGGGCGGGGGGTGTTCCTCCTGCCGCCGCGCCGGCGTCCCTATTGGCTCTTCACGCCTCCGCCCCGGCACGCGGTGCGCTCGCCCGGCTCTCTTGGCACGACGTCGCTCGCTCCTTCGTTGTCAGGGGTTTGCGTTTGCGTGAGGCTGGTGAAGTCCCGGCGCGATTAGGCTTGTGCCGGAGGCAGCCCGGAAATTGGGAAGAGGAAGCCGGCTGTGAGATGCAGGGATTTTAACTTTTTGCAGTAGTAGAACGGCTTTAAACCAATCTCTTAATTCAACTGCAACATAAACACGCAACCGTAGACCTGATGTGAGCTGGATGATGCTGATTCTAATCATGCCGAGGAAATTTTCTAGGCTGCCCAAGACTCCGTGTTTACATTCCTGCTTTAAACTGGCAGGAGCTCAGCAGGGGCCGACTGCTTGAGTCATGGTTTGGCTCCCAATGCGTTTTGTTTGTCTCTCTGGAATTGTGCAATCGCTGCATCTGTTCGGTGAAGAGTTTTGGGTTAGCTCGTTAGAGCCACGGGGTTGCTGTGGCCGTGGGAAGTAGCTTTGGCGCTGTTGATGTTCTCTGCAATTCTGCCAAAGGTTTTATGGCTGAAGGAGGACCTGGTCATTGTTTGGTAGAGCTGTGGTTTATAATAAAGCACAGGGGCCGTTTCCCGGCAGTTAGCGCATCCTAGAATAATTATCTGTACTCCAAGGAGTATTCCCCAGTGGGCAAAGGATTTTCCGTACAAAATTATTGTCAAGCAGAAAACGTTTCTTCTGCCATTGTTGAAGCCTTCTGGGTTACAATAAAACTCCAAGCCGTTAGGAATGACTTGGACCTAAATTCTGGACAGGGTTTCTAGCTTCATCTACAGACTCAACATAGATTTCCAGATTTCCTTCAGGTAATAATAATAAAATATATAACAAAACAATAACAAAACATATTTTATTACAATATTCAGCTAATATCTGGATGGGATAAGGCTGTATAAAATAAATATAGACTACAGTCAATTAATTTTGATTAGTCCCTAGGTGTATGCTTCCAATTTATAATAAATGTTATGTTGCTGCTTCCTGGATTCAGCTTAACCCATTAAAATAAATTAAGTTGGTTCTCTGAAGTTTGTAGCGGCTTGTAGTCCCTGTTTGATTTATTCATATTCATAGAAGATGAAAGTTGTCTCTGAAGTAATAGCTGGGAGTAAAGGCAGACTAAAAAGTAGCTTGCTTCTAGCGAAAGGGAACGTTTCTTCTGACAACTTTGAAGTGTTAAGTGAAGTTTAAGCCAGTCCTTCTGTCTTTTTTATCTCCACTGATATATTTTGTAGATGGCATGATCATGATTTCTGTTGCAGTAATGTGTTGGGATGCCCTGATGGTTGGAATGGATTTGGTGAATGGTTTTATTTACTGAAAATATTCTGAGGGTATTTTTGTTAATGCAAAAATTAGAGACGGAAGATGAATTTTTAAATACTCAGTATTTTGTTCTTTGAGCCTGCTGCTTTGTAAGAGTGATAAGCAGTATGGGATGACAACTTTAGACAATAAGATTGGTGTGCCTGATCATATAAGTGAAGAAAACAGGAATTCTGTTTCAACTGAGGGAAATGTAGGCTATTCTTTTTATTTTTCTAGCTTGATAGAAATAAATTCTGTTTCTTTTTGTTATCTCTGCTTTCATAGCTTGCTTAGTGCCATTTCCATTGTTAACTAGGAAGCTTTCAATATTGCCATGCAGACTATTTACCTAAAGAAATAATGACCTCTTTCTGTCAAGAAAAATGTCATCTAGTTCCCTCTGTGAATGTCACAATTTTGTTGTGGTTTTTTTTTTTTTTTTGTTTGTTTGTTTTTTTTAAAAGAAAGCTGGCTACCTGAATTTGAATGTTTCTGTGGTGTCATTAGGTAAGATTTCTATCAGTCTACCACTTTTTTTTTTTTTTTTTTTTCTTTTTCCATGAGTTTTTTTTGCTCAAGTTCTGTTCAGGGATCTGCCTTATATTCAGGCCTTGGGCCATGCTAAAAGCATCATAACAATAGAAGTATTTCGAAGTGTTAATATATGAGATTTGAGGAGGTTTATATTTGTGGGGGAGGGAAGTGAAGGAGGATGAAGAGCAGAAAGAAAACTCTACTTCAGTAGTTATGGGAAAAATCCCCAAGTACAACTTGGCATGATCTACAGAATTTCTTTTACTATTTTTTAGGAAAAGAAGTTAGCCTGTTCTTAAACTAAATTAATCTGACAGTCTTAATGGGGGATACTGAAGGAAAGATTTTTCACTCTACTTAAGGAATTCTTAAAACATATTCTTCAAAGAAACAGTGGCCTTGCAGAGTGAAATAAAATAGCTTGTAGCTCTCTTCTTCATCACTCAATAATGTGTGAAAAAGCTGAAAATGCTTTATTTTATTTCAGTAACATGAAATGTCAGTCCTTGTTATTTCTTTGTATCACCTGGAAAAGTCTTTACTGATGTGAGATATATATGGTGAGGCATTTTCAACTTACAATGTGAATTGAAATAGCAAAAGCATCTAAAAATTTTGACAATGGCATCTCTACTTGGAGTACTGTGTCCAGCTCTGGAGCCCTCAGCACAGGAAAGACACGGTTCTGTTGGAGTGGGTCCAGAGGAGAGCCACAAAAATGATCAGAGGACTGGAACACCTCTCCTATGAGGAAAAGCTGAGAGAGTTGGGGTTGTTCAGCCTGGAGAAGAGAATACTCCGGGGACACCTTACTGCAGCCTTTCAGTACTTGAAGGGGGCTTATAAGAAAGATGGGGACAGACTTTTTAGCAGGGCCTGTAGTGATAGGACAAGGGGTAATGGTTTTAAACTAAGAGAGGGTAGATTCAGACTAGATATAAGGGAAGAATTTTTTTACAATGCAGATGTTGAAACACTGAAACAGGTTGCCCAGAGCAGTGGTCGATGCCCCATCCCTGGAAATATTCAAGGTCAGGTTGGATGGGGCTCTGAGCAACCTGATCTAGTTGAAGATGTCCCTGCTTATGGCAGGGGGGTTGGACTAGATGAGCTTTAAAGGTTCCTTCCAACCCAAAGTAGTCTATGATTCTGTGATCTTTCCTTCTTTCGTAGATTTTTGAGTACATATGTGTGAATACAACTTCTCAATATCATCTGAACACTTCCTTTCCTTTTTTCTTGTCTATCTATTTAGCTTTTTGTAATTCTGCAATCCTGTAAGTACCTGCTATTTGTTTCAAGTAAAAGAATGTAATTTTCCAGGAAACTGTAATCTTGCGGTTTCTTGCTCTTTTTGCATAAAGTGTGAAGATAAAAAGCTGCGGTTGTCTTCTGTAATCATGAAAAGCAGAACGATCTGGAGTTCAGACAAACTGGATTTTTTAAAGGAGATTTCTTCCTCAGCCTTCTTGAAAGATCCTGTTTGTAGCACAGTGTCAAAACATTTTTTTTTAAGTCCATTGAAAGGGATGTCAACAGTGACTCAAGGTAGAAACAAGAAAAATGGAGGTGAGCACCGGAAACCGGCATTACTGCTGAAGGAAATATGCAAATGCATCCTCTATCTCATCTCATCTCTCTCTTTCTCTCCCTGTTTTTCTTGCTTACTCTCTCTCTGATCTGCTCCCCCTCATCTTGCCCAAAAGTTAGAGGTATCCCCTTGCTTTGACAGGTGGAGGACCGTGCCTCTTTGGAGGTTTCTTCTGCCCTTTGATGCCTTTTTGCAGTGCTAGTTAGTTTGAGTGGAGGTAAGTGCCTGTTTGCTCTGTAAAAGCTGTAGTGGTTCAGCAGTTCCATGTCTGTGGAACTTGCTGAAAATTTTCTTCTGTATTTGCCTTTGAAGCATGTAACAGATACAGATGTAAAAAGCTGTGCAGGAGCTCAGTGCTGGTCTTCCTAATTCTGCATTATCAGTAGAGCTAGGAGATTTAAAGTGGCTCCAAAAGTGAGTCTTTTCTGCTTTAATTAAGTTTAAACATACAAATATTTCTAGTTGCTCTTTGTTTAAGCAAAAATATTTCTGTAAGATCATTACCCTTCAGTGCTAGTCCTTCTCAACTACCATTTCTGATTCCAAAACATCCATCTCCACTTTACGACTAAAACCTTTGATGGGAGCTTCCACTAGGAACCATGTGGCATATTGCCCATGTTTTCATTTTCAGTATGTTATTTTTAAAACAAAAATGTTGCAAACCTTCTTGCCCACTGCACTGATAAATGACGTAAATGTCTGCTTTTTCACACAGTATGCCATAGAAATGAGGCATTGTACCAAAATACTGGATGTGGGAGTTAATTCTAAGGTTGCAGCAAGGAAAGCTCTGCGTGTCTAAAGCCTTTATGTTTTAGACAGACAATAGCATGGTTATTTATGTCGACTACCAAGGGGACTGTGACCCCTCAGACTAGCAGGAACTCTCCAACTCTGTGAGTGAAGAGCATTCTTGTGACTTCTCACTTGATGGGAAAAGGCAATGTCTTGACTGACTTCCTGAGCAGATACAACGGTGGGACGCATGAATGATATCTCTAGTCACTGTTCCAAGCTGAGTTGGAAGCCCAAACTGTAACGCTTCACTGCCAGAAAAAATGCCAGTGTTTCAAAACTACTTGACAGTAAACAGAACACAATACTGATGTCATCTGGACTGGGACTGGGAAATAATCTCACGTCCATGTTCTCAATGCATTTATCGATGTAGAAAGTCAATGGGACAGAGCTAGAACGCTCTTGGTGACGGAGTTGGCAGCTTTGCCTTTTAATCATTCTGGATCTGATGTCAAGACCATGAAACCTACTTCCAGTTCATTTGGTCTCTTCTTTACTAGTGAGGGAAGCTCTGTTTTGATCATGTATGTCTCAATATGCCATGATGCTTCTGCAGTGCTTTGGGCATTAGATTATTATTCTGAAAGTCCAAGAGTTCTTTGGGGAAGATGCCTGCATTTGGGCAAACTCACTTGAAGTGGGAAAGATTCTCTGTCTTGCAATGGACTTGAAAAATCTTGGCATTTGAAGGAGTTACAACTAACTTTTGGTTTGACAAGGTTCTGTCTGTTTGCTGTTTTGAGTTCCTATCTTCACCTGCAAAAAATTTGTATTTACTCTGCAGTTTTCTCTGGTGCTGTTTCTGTGCATTCCTCCTTGTTTTTGAAGCCTTTTCCTTCATAGACTTAGGCTTCTGTTCTCATAAATGTATGTACGTTGATAGCATTTGAGTTTGGGTTTTTTTCATCTCTTTGAAGATGACCACCTTTGTAGTCTATATCTGCCTAAAGAATGAGCGGGCAGGTGAGATGCAAGCATTTGAGTTGATCACCCTACATCTTATTCCACAAAGTAAATGTGTTCTGCATCTTAATTTCTTTTTTGTATGTATGTGTCTGAAGTAAGTTCTGCTTCCATCTTGCCATGCAACTAATCTGCCTGTATTTTCCTGAAGCTTTCCTGAAATTCATGCTTCATAGCACTAAGGAGGGGTATTAATAGTAACAGGGAGATGGGAAAGCAAAAAATATGGCTTCTTTGTGAAATCTGGAGATAATGTTTTTCTTTTTTAGAATGAAAGGCCCTGTAAGTAGAAGAGGAGGATAATGTAAGGTGTTTTCTTGGGTCTTTTAACTTATTTTTATCTGAAAAGGATGCCATTTCTTGCTACTCTGTGATGTAAAAGTTGGACATTATTTTCAGATAGTCTGTGGTATTCTGAAATGCTAACCCCAAATGTACACTGAGTAGATCAGTATGATTTTTGCCAGTGAAGCTCCTGAAGGTTAGATCTGGCATTTTTCAGTAGTTAATCTGCTTCTAAGGTGTAGCAGTGCTGGGTATACAATTCACTGATGCACATTAATTAAAATATCTATGCTGTGTTCACTTATGCTATCTTTCGTTTTTCTTTTTCTTTTATCTTTTCTTTGTTAAGCATTGCAGGCTGTATGTACCGAGTAGTTCAGACGACGGGACCAGATGGAAAAAACCTTCTGAAATTACTTCCAATTTCTAAATCTTCTGGAAGCTTTGTGCCAATAGTTCAGTCTTCAGCCATGCCAAATAATTCTAAAGCGAATATTTCTAGTCCAGTCCATCTTACTTTTAAGACACAGCTTGCCAATACTACTGCACCTTCATCTGTTAAGATACCTGTTTTTCAGTCTCCTAATCCTGGAAAGATTATTCTTACAAGGACATTAGACAATCAGGAAAGTGTTAGGGCAGGTTCTGAAAGAGAAAGCTTAATTCCAAAATCAGCTGCTAACATCCAGAGCAGTTGTGTTTCAGTTGATAGACTGTCTTTGCAGAACATTGCTGTAACAAGTTCATCTAACCAGAGTAACACTGCATACATGTTGGTAAACACAAAAAGTCTTCCAGTTACTGTGAAGTCTCCAGTACTGCCCTCTGGCCACCACCTCCAGATACCAGCTGATGCAGAAGTGAAATCTGTCCCAGCTTCTTTTTTACCACCTGCAATACAGCAAAAAATACTTGCAGCTGCAGCAACAAATGTGTCTGGAGGAGCTGACAGTACAAAAATGCCAACTGTTATATATGTGTCACCAGTGAACACAGTGAAAACAGTACTTCCCAAGCGTTTGCAAGCCATTTGCCCAAAACCTGCCACAGAAGTTTCAAAAACATTAATAATGACAGCTACACAAAAGGGAAATAGTTCTTCTCCTGAGACAGTAACATCTGATGGTCAGCAGTGTCAGCAAACGCCAATGAAATGGATTGTGCAAGAAAGTCCACAGTCATCAGCGCCTTGCCTTATTCCTGTAAAGTCATCTAATAATATGGCTTCCAAGATCTTGAAAACTTTGTCAGACATGAAGAATGTAGAAGCTAACTCTGCAAATATTTTACCACTCTGTTCTAGTGGTCCTGGTGGAAGCCAAACAAAAATCACACCTATTAAAGATAATGCTCTGGTCATGTACAATGGGAAAGTCTATTTGTTGACCAAAAGAGGCTCTGATGTTCTGTCAGCCCAAGCTGACAAACAAGCATCTTCTTCTTCTGATGCTTCACTTAAAAAGCAGACATCCAAGCTAATTGATTCTACTGCAGTCAATAAAATAACCAATAAAGTAGTGAACCTTGTATTGTCAAAAAGCAAAGGAATGGTGCTGTCTCAGAAAGATCCAAAACCATGTACAAACTCAAAAATTTCTTCACCAGCTGGCTTAAGAAATGATTTAAAATCTGCACCTGCAGCTCTGGTGACACCAAGTGCTAATCAGCAGGATTCCACTGTAAACCAGAGAAAGAGTTTGCCCTTCACCGAGAGCATTTCAAGTGGAGTGACCCCTATTACAGCAGTAGGGACACAGGAAAATGTATGCCAAAATGGCAAAGAAAAGATTGATTCCCCCAAAGCAGCAAGTGCTGTTTTACCTCAGTCTAAGCAAGAGTGTGCTTTCAGTGAAGACTGGCAAAAGGTAACTCTCTCCAATAAACATGCCCATCTCCATCTCTGCTAAACTGTTATATGGTCCTGGTTCTATTTGACTAAAATGGCTATTAATAAGTTCACAGATTTTTTGTAACTAGGTATCCTGTCACTGGAAATGCTCGTCTAAAGTGTGGTTCTAATCAATAAATGATCTTCTTTTTTTCCAATAAAATTGCACTATGCAAGTGAGAAAATGCATAAAGAAAAGAAAGGGGCAGGCAGAAGATGACTTTTTATTTCCTCACAAGATAAATTGTTGGTAACAACTGAAACTATAGGAAAGTTGTTCATTGAGCTCTGACAGCTATCTGCTTTCTAATGTTGTTGATGCCACATTCTCACAGCACAGCCATTGACTGTGTTGTAGGTGTGATGTAAGGTAGAAACGTTTGCAGCTGCACAAGAGGAAAACAAGGTAGAAGAGCAGGGTTTGTCATCCAGAGACAAACTGGTGTTGCACTAAGTCAGCTTCAGTATCCACTAGCTCAGACAGCCAAAGGCAGGAGCTGTGTTTCCTTCCTTTCATGCCATGATGGGGAGGGATCCACCTCCTTTGACTCATGGTTTCATGTCAGGCAGAAGAAACTCTTGAGACCTTTAATGGCATTCCCTCTTCAGGCTGGACCTACATATTCTTTTAAGATCATAACGTCAAAAATATGTAAAAAAGTCTTCAGCCTCAAGTCCTATGAACTCTACCCATGAAGGTATGTAGGTCAAGTTTTCAGTTGCTCAAGAGGCCAGAACGAATTTGCCTCCAGATAAAAAAAAAATCATTCTGAAGCTAGTTTATGCTTGCTTGTGTTGATGAGGCAGATGAGAAATGTCAGCTAAGCATGTTTGTGCAAATTTTAGACATTTAATCATTGCAACAGACTGTAGGCTCTCTTTTTTGATTGTTCCTCACCTGAAAAAATGGTTAAAATAGACTTTTTTTTCTTCAGTTCTGTGTGATGCTGAGTGTTAGCATTCTCATTTGCTTTAACCTCTGTGAAAAATAGCATTATCAAATGTTTGCTGCTTTTAGTCTGTAAATTTGCAAGCCCGTGGATTGCCAGACATACTGATATGAGATTGAACTTGAAGAATCAGAAACAGTTCAGGTTACAATGCAGTTGGATACAAGAGATGGCTAATAGTTCTTTATTAGTATTATCAGCCACAATGCAAATATGAAATGCATTCAGCAGTCTGAAAGTGACACTGTAAAGACACTGTCTGATCTTCTGTCATCTTCCTTTGTTACTTTAAAGTTTTAGAATAGGTGGTTCCCTTGTTTCTTTTACTTCTGTGGTTTACTAGTTGGACTGTGCATTTTCTGGATGTTCCACAATGTTCTTGGGTTTTAAATAGCCAACAAGAAAGTTAGATCTATCATAATATGTATATAATTTCTCAAAATTGGCTTACCTGTGTTAAATGTAACTCTCGGAGAATGGCAGACAAAACAAATGTTCACCTGTCTTTCTAGTAACTAGATTTTAGTTTATATGTATGGAGAGAGAAAGAGAGAGAGAGTGAGAGAGTGTGATTGATGGCTCTCTCACTGTTTCTATATTTCAGATCCAGTGTGAAAAGATGGATTCACCAGGAAAGGTTATTAAAATCAAACACCAAGAGAAGCCACATTGGAAACAATACTTGGAATTAAGGAAAAAATTTGGTCTCTCTAAGGAGGAGAGAGTGTACCTTAAAAGAATACCATTAAGGACCCCCTATGAGAAACCAGAAGAAAGGTTTTTTTCCAGTAACAGCTTGAAAAGGAAAAATGACTCTTGCAGTTCTTCATCGTTAGATGTGGAAATAACAAATCAACGTCAGGAATGTGTTAAAGAAGAAAAGGTATCTTGAAATTTTTCAGTGCTAAAACATGTACTGCAACACATTCAGAAAGCAGCATATGTGTAGTCAATACAGAGCTGCGTGTTTATTTGGACCCTCCCACCTCTGGATTCACCAGAGCAAGTCAGTAATTGTTATGGTCCCTGTGAGAATTGTTCCAACAACTTGTTTGTGTACCACAACAGAGTTGTGTGATTTCAGTACGACTTGAGTACCATCTAAGAGTTTTTGTCCTCTTTTCTGGGTTCCACTGGAGGAAATTTGAAGAACAAATGCTTTGAAGAAGACTGGACCCTCTAGTGGTGGCTGAACAGTCAAAGGGATAGTCTTCATTGGAATAGAAACCGTACCTCTGTATCCTGATTTATATTTAGCCTTATGCAACAATTATGTTTATCCAGTAGTGCAATGGATATAAGCAGAATAATAGAAGAATAATTTTTTGTGAGGCTCTACCCTTGAGTTTGAAATCAGTCAAGTGCCATTATTTCAAGGCACTTCAATCACTCACATGACTATGTGTGGCTGACTTCCAAAGAAGGGTACCCACTTAGTCATGTGTGGTTTTATTAAAAGAAATTTACCTGTGTACCTGTCTAATCTTTAGAGTTACAGATGTCTTTATAAACTTAGTCCTTTGTCATTGGCTAGGAACTTGTTTGGGTGCTTCTGGAAATGTTCCCTCGACGTAAGGATTTCCATCTTAATGCATTAAAATTATTTTATCCATCCAAAGTAGTTCTGTGCAGCCATAGTGTTCTAAGTTTTCTTTTGTATGATTCTACTCTACCCAGTCAAAGGCTTTCTCAGGTTTTAGTAATTCTGTGTTAAGAGCCCTGCTTTGAGCAGATCTGCTGGGTGCTCTTAGTAAAGTACATTAACATTTAAATAACAAAACAGCTGACAGGAATGCACTCTTGTAATGGACATTATTGCTAATGTTTAAGCTTTTTGGAAATGTAAGCATGAATTCTTCTATGTTTCGAATTTTCCCATCAAGCTAGATAGAAAGTTTTTGTCTTACATTACAGTTAAAGAACTCAAGCAACCACAGGAGGCGATAGGTATGCAGAGGAAAGGCAGAAGTGCACTGTTGACTAAAAAAGGAATTTAGTGTTCTGGAATTGTTAATTGGGAATCTTTGTTAGAAAAATATTGAATATGGAAGTATGTTTGCTCAAATTGCTAAAAGAAACATCTTCCATATAGTAATTCTAAGAAGCTTGCAACAAATAACTTGTAATTTGCGCTTAGTGAACTATGATGTTATAATGTAGAATGATGCTCAATTTAACAGAAGTATATTTTGTATGTTTCTTGACTGTACAGATAATTGTGGATTTGGAAGAGGATTTGACTAAGAAAAGAAAAATAAAATCCTCACCACTGTCAGACAGTGGAAAGAGAAGGAAAACTTCAGTCAAATCAACCACAAGTCCAAGTTCAGAAAATACCACCTCAAGTGTCAGTGTACTTAACAGAAGTGTTTCACCCCCACCAGTCTTACCGCAGCAAGGTATTTCCACAGACTTTGTTACATCGTCTCTAGGGAGGGACTCTGAGCAAGACCCATACTCTCAATATACTGACATTACAGACTTTAGTATTCCAGTTTTAGTGTCTTGTGAAGGTGATACTTCAGTTCTTGAAGGTTCTTTCCGAGATGATGCTTTCCCTTTGACTCCCCCAGACTTGGATGAAACAATACGGGATGAAAAAATAAAACGACTTAAACAGCTCTTAAGAGAACGGGAAGCGGCACTTGAAGAGATGCGTAGAAAAATGCAGCAAAGCTGAAATACTGAAGCTGGTGATCTGGACCATATTCATCTTCATTTCAGTGACTTCAAGAAGAAATTCCTTGTTTAAACAAATGTGAATATTTCTGGTAGATGGAAGATCTTAATGAGGTTTACAGTATGTGTTTATTTAGAAGAGTATAGGTTTCTTGTTAAATACCGGAAATAAAAGACTTGGACCATCAAACTCTGCTTCTGGGACATTATATGTATCAAAGAATGCAGATAGGCATTTTTATTAGTCTGTTCTTTATATTTTGAATTGAGGGGTTTCTGTTTTAGTCCTAGCAAATAAACTTTCCCACTTTGGAATTCCATGGCCTAGCTCTTAGAAACTGAATGTAAATTGCAAACCCCAATTGTAGATATTTTTTTGTTTTCCTAATGTGCATGACAACTTTTGTGAATTCCTGAGAACTGTCAATTGTCATAAAAGGTCAATGGTCAGTGTTTAATAAATGCTATTTAAGTGATCTTGGAGTTAGACTTTAGGCAGTAATAATGCAGATATTTATACAAAACCTCTTACAGATGTGAAGACGGAAGCAGTAGAAACCCCTGCTGACAGTTATCTAGTTATGTGTCTCTTTCTTACTGTTATTATTGTAAGCCTTTATAAGGCCTTTTGCCAGCTGTGCAATGAAGTTCGGTTGTGAGGTTATTTTTTGTGGGGGGAGGTGCATTTTTTTTTTAAACAGAATTATGTTGAATAATAACTTGTTGAAGCAAAAAAGGCATATTTCTTTATCCAGGAGTGGTATCTTCAATAATTCTTGATGAGTATCTTTTACATTAATTTGTTCAGTCTTTATTTGGACGTGTCTCTTGCTACCTTAATTTGATGGTACCTTAGTTCTGCATTGTAGGAGAGAATGTGCACTCAAACTGTCTTTACCATCATAATTTTTATAGATCTTTGTATTATATTTTCCCAGCATATTCTGTCATGTGTTGTATGGGCGCCTTTCACTACCCTTTGTTGTCCATGTCATTGAATCTTGTAAGGCCCTTCTGCAGTTCTTCAGTCCTTATTGTTACAGCCATGAATAACTTTTGCCAACAGAATTTGTCATTGTTCTTTTTCTTGTCCATTTATGGTTATATTCAACATCACTGATCCCTGTAGAACTCCATTGCTGATTTCTGTTCATGGGAGACTGTTTGCAACTATTCTTATTTTCTGTATTTTAATCAAATTATCATCAGTAAGGTTTTTCTCTATTATCACATGGATGCCTAGTGTATGTATGTATAGAGTTTTGGTGAAGGATGTTGCTTTGGAGATAGATCTTTGGAGAGCCTAGTAGACTGTATCAGCCCTATGTTCATAATTAATATGCATCTTGATAGTGTGAAAATCTCAAGTGGATTAGAGAGACAGGCTTTTTCTTCCAAGGGAAGAAAAAGATGGTCCCTGCTCTGAATAGCTTGAGATAGACCAAATGTAGGAGAAGATGATACACCAAACACGCAATGGTGAGCGAAGAAGAAAGTTTATAATGGACCTAAACTCTTTAATTATTGAGATTGCTGTATAAGAGGCAAGTGCCCGTGATAGAGCAGGCAAGTAAGGATGATATTATCATGGGCATCCATGGGTTAGCTGTGTGTGGAGTGAGTGTTTTGGGGCAGAAATCCCATAGTTTAGCATAGGACAACAGACATCTAATGAAGGGCTGATTCACAGTGGAGAGAATGATGTGCATGAATTGGGCCTCATGACCTACGTTATCATGCAGCCCAAGTATCGCAGAGCTAGGAGCACATGCAAGACAGCTGGGTGCCTGAGGAAAGGACTGTTGGTTGGACCAGTGACCTGTAGCCTGACAGGCCAAGTTGCTTATGGAGCAGGTGTGCACAGATGTTGTGTGTCCTTTATTGGTAAATGTGCAAAGCAAAGAGGCTAATTTATGGGAGATGATTTTTTTGAGCAGCCAGTGATGTCAGTGAAGAGGATGTCTGCAGTCTCATCTGTGCTTGTTCCAGAAAGCATGGAAGAAGTGTAAATTTAGCCAAGCCTGCCTGTCAAATATAAGCAGTAGTGAGGAGGCAATCATTTTGTGTGAAAAGTGGGAATATTCCACACATGTATGTGGGTGTGACGGTTTGACCTTGGCCATCTATCAAGCACCTACCCAGCTGCTCACTCCTTCCCCTCTCCTGCAGGATGGGGAGAAAATAGAAGACAAGCAAGACTTGTGGATTGAGATAAAGACAGTTAAGCAAAAGCTGCATGCAGGCAAAGCAAAATAAGGAATCTAATCACCATGTCCTATCAGCAGGCAGATGTTTAGCCATTTCCTGCGTCTCAGTGTGTATAGTGTTTACTTGAGAAGACAAATGCTGCAACCATAAATGTCTCTGCATCCTCCTCCTTTTGTTAAGCTTTTATTTGCTGAGAATGACATCATATGGTATGGAATATCACCTTGATCAGTTTGGGGCAACTGTCCTGGCTATGTCCATTCCCAACTTGTCCATCCCCAGCCTGCTTGCTGGGAGGGAAGCAGAGAGAAAAAGAGAAAGCCTTGATGTTGTGCAAGCACTGTTCAGCAATAGCCAAAACACTGGTGTGTTATCAACACTGTCTCCCTCACAAATCCAAAACAGCATCACATGAGCTGCTATGAAGAAAATTGGCTCCATTCCATGCTGTCCCAATATGACAGGACAGCAATCAGAAAGGGAATAAAAGCAGCCTTGTGTCTTGTATCTAGTGCTGCAGTCACCTGTTGTGATACTCTTCCAACAGATGTCACTCACCTATCCTGTCTTCTGACAGAAGTCTTTCCTCTGTTTTCCAACAATCTCCAAAGAAATTAATGAAGCTGAGTTCACTTACCCTCTCCTTTTGCTGGGAGGATTCCAGATTTGACATTCTGAGACACACCACCTTCTTTCTTCTAGAACCTCTTTTACCCTAGCAAAGTGGTCCATTAGCCTGAGTTTTCTCTAGAGGCAATGATGAGATACTGAAAATTCAGAGAAGAATCCTCACTGCAAGGTTTTGAAGAAATGGGATGAGTAGGATTTGGTGGAAAAAAGGGAATGGGCTATTTCCTTGCGATCTAGTAATGGAAGACACTTGGTGCAATTCAGAAAGACAAAGCCAAGCCATCTATGGAAGGAATAGAGACGCCTTTCTTGGAACAACATCAGCGCAAAGTTGAAAGGATCACACAGCCAAGAGAGGCCCCTTGGTGTGCTGATGTGGGAAGGCTGCGCCAACAGCAGGAGCAAAGGGACTTCCAACAGCCAAGGACCTTGTGGGTTGTTGGAACTGCTCCTCATCCAGACACATCATCTGTAGCACAGATTCTGTTTTTCTGCACTGTTCATCCTTGAACTCCTATGATCTGTTAAGAGTTTGTCTGTGACAGAAAAACTAGAGTCCTGGGAACGCTGGCTGTGGCCCCAGGAGTGGAAGTTACTGGCAGCCATCCCTATGTGCAGCCTTGGCTGGCAGAAGGCATTGCAGTTACACATCACGCTTGCTGTGTTAAGTACATAGCAATATGAAAACCATGGATTTAGGCTATGAATTAAAACATATTACTTTCAAGCAGATATTCAGGAAGAATCAGCGTAAGGCCTTTTAGGAACTTCTGGATCCAAAGAGGAAAAGTGGCAGTGAGTGCTGGACAAAACAGTCTGGGAAGCAAAGTGATACTGGGCCAGTTGCTAACATCAGCCTAACCTGGTGACTGGGAGTATCTGACCAGAACTATCCATGTGCAAAGATGTTACTTTTCAGCTAGAGGACAACCCACCACAGCACCAGCATTTCTGTATGCGAACATGAATCTTCACAGAGGTCCGTCCCAGCCATTTATAGAATCATAGAATCATTTAGATTGGAAAAAACCCTTAAGATCATTGAGTTCAACCGTAAAGTTAACACTGCTGAGTCCACCACTAAACCATGTCCCTAAGCACCATGTCTACATGTCTTTTAAATACCTCCAGGGATGGTGTCTCAACCATATGTAGCCTGAGAGGCGACCTGGAAGCTAGGTACCCTAGAGCCCATCAGGTCATTTCTTCCTGGCAAGCCAGCAGTCAGCTGCTGGGGTGGAGGTGTGCAGAAATACTAGAAAATTAGTTAATGTGCAGATACTTGTTACCAGGGATGTGCAGGTTCAGCTGTGAAACTGTTTTGGACAGTGTGGAACCGACCCTGGACTTCCTACAGCGTGTGATCTGAGTGAACAAATTGTGACAGATTTCTAGTGGCACACTTTGCAGTGGGAGCATATACCAAGGCTGAATTTGGCAGAGCCCTAGCTGTCCTCCTCTTGTGGATCTGGGAAGCGTAGAGCAGTGCAGTCCGAAGACGGCTTCTGGCAAATGGAGAGGGAGGTGGCACTGCTTTCAAAAGCAGGACATAAAAGCATAAGTAGTCAGTGCTGGATTAGTCTGAAGATCCATCCAGCTCATCATTGTCTCTCCAGCAGAGATCAACATGGGGAAAGAAATCAGATTGGAGACCAATAGTGGATGCCTAGAAAAGAGTACAAAGACATAATGATCACAAAAATGATCACAAAAATGACCACAAAAATGACCAGAGGGCTGGAACACCTCTCCTATGAGGAAAAGCTGAGAGAGTTGGGGTTGTTCAGCCTGGAGAAGAGAATACTCCGGGGACACCTTACTGCAGCCTTTCAGTACTTGAAGGGGGCTTATAAGAAAGATGGGGACAGACTTTTTTGGCAGGGCCTGTAGTGATAGGACAAAGGGTAATGGTTTTAAACTAAGAGAGGGTAGATTCAGACTAGATATAAGGGAAGAATTTTTTTACAATGCGGGTGTTGAAACACTGAAACAGGTTGCCCAGAGCAGTGGTCAATGCCCCATCCCTGGAAATATTCAAGGTCAGGTTGGATGGGGCTCTGAGCAACCTGATCTAGTTGAAGATGTCCCTGCTTATGGCAGGGGGGTTGGACTAGATGAGCTTTAAAGGTTCCTTCCAACCCAGACTAGTCTATGATACTGTGATTCTATGATGCTATGATTCTATGATCATATGCAAGACTTCACTGGTACTTCTCATTTTCCAGCTCTTAAACAGATGTGGTATCTTTATGTTTAATACCCCTTGATTTTTTTTTTTCTTTGCGTGTTATATTTTTCTGTTAACTTTTTGAAGTCAGTTTAACCAGGCCTCAAGTTACTACGTCCAAGTAAAAAATGATTTTGTAGACTTTTTTAATCTGCAGTCTTTCTTTTCCTAGACTGGGAAATTCTGTGTAGGTGTTGTCTGAACAGAAACTATATCTCAAACGTTTGACCATTTTTGTTACCCTTCTCCGTAGCTTTCTGGATCCACCATAATCTTTTTCAGATGGATGGACCATGATCATCCAATGATGAAAATGTCATTGCATCATGGAGTTACAGTGGCTTTTGTTTTTGTTTTGCTCTCTATACCTCCCTGATAATTTCTTATATTCCAGGGCTCTTTACTATTGAGCTGGTATTTTGTGGACTGATCTACTAAATTTGCTGTTCTCTTTGAACATAACAGCTCATTCAGAGCTCATTATTGTGTATGGAAACACAAGGGTTTTCATTCATGTACACTGAATTTCATAATTTGTTTTATTGCTCAGTTATTTGGTGTTATGAGAACCTTCTGAAGCATTTTTCAATGTTCTTGAGAGCTGTGCCACTGGCAGACTTTGACATCTTGCTCTTCACCCACTTTTCTAAATACCTTGTGAATATTGAAGAGTACAAGCTCCAACAGGAGTATCTGGGACTTCTTCCT